AACTATCTACTCTCCAACCCAAGATTCTAAGCGTAAGGGCGCCTGCAACATCAATGGCCCTCTCCGGTGTGTCTCTCTGCCCCTACAGGTCTCCGCTTCTACACGGACGCTGCCCCTTCCGTGGGTTTTTGGGGGATTCTTCCAGGACCAGTGGTTCGCCGGCCGTGGCCCGCTACTTTCCCCGGAGCATTTCCTCTGCCCTACACATTCCCAGTGGTCGTGGCCTGCGCGCTGCGGAATCACACGTGGCAGAGAAAGAGGATCTCTGTCATGCGTGATCATCTCGACGTAGTGGAAGCATTAAACAAAGGTCGCTCTTCTCACCCAACATAATGTCCCCTGACCATTCAACCTTCATCTCAAACATTCAAAGATCAGAGGCGCCTGCAACACAATAATAGCTCGCTTCGACACATCTCTCTGCCCCTACAGGTCCATGATGCGTTACACTCGCCTCCGCGGCAAAAAGGAGATTTTAACGGACCTCTAATTCTCACTCCAGTCAACCTTCCCATAACAGCAACCTGTTTCAGAGCTCAGCTAAGATCCCTACTGCTCCTCTGCAATTTGTCTCCCCAGCTCTATACAGCCCACTCCTTCAGGATAGGCGCTGCCACGCGCGCGACCTCGCTGGGGCTCCCCCACTCTTCTCTGCAACAGCTGGGGCGCTGGTCCTCTTCGGCTTCTCCACCTACATCAGGCCAGATGCGACCGCTATCATGGCAGCACAACGTCTACCGGCTTCCTCGTAAGCTCCCAGCAAGCAAGTAAGCAATAAGATTCTGGTGGCGGCACGCACTTTCCTCAAACGCTCAAAGATTCCTCTGCTTCAGCGTCTGGCTGAATATGAGCGTGCGCTCATATTCTCAGCTCGCTCAAAGATTCCTCTGCTGCAGCGTCTGGCTGAACATGCGCGTGCGCGCATGTTCTCAGCTCGCTCAAAGATTCCTCTGCTAAAGCGTCTGGCTGAACATGCGCGTGCGCGCATGTTCTCAGCTCACTCATGCTCTCAGGCCCGCGCAGTACGTCCTGCTATCCCAATCGCAGGCCCGCTTTTTGGGGATTATGCACGCGAGCAAGCGCCGTGCTCAACAGCATCCCGCCCGGGCCTAGGGCGCCAAACATGCTCAATCAATAAACATGCTTAAATCTAATAAGTCTATGCGTTTTCCTCATGGGTCTCTCCAAGGTGAAATGGAGCTTTCGCGAAAGTTCACCGTGGTAGACCCGGCTGCTGCTGCCAGGCCACAGGCTGTTCTTCCTCGACTCATCAATACCAGCAACGCCCACATCCAGTCAACCAATAACCACCAGGACAGCAAGTTAAAAGCCGGAGACGCCCACTTCCCGGCCTTCCGAAGTCTGCAAGCCGCCGCCGCCCCACCTCCTCCTTCTCTCATGAAGCGTGCTTGCCTACTGCCTCTGCCGTCACCAGTGCCTAGGCCCCGGGGGGATCATGCACGCGAGCAAGCGCCGTGCTCAACAGCATCCCGCCCGGGCCTAGGGCGCCAAACATGCTCAATCAATAAACATGCTTAAATCTAATAAGTCTATGCGTTTTCCTCATGGGTCTCCAAGGTGAACTATTCTTCTTTTAAGAGACTTTTAGAAATAACCCTCTGTCAAGCCGGGCAACCAACCAGTAGGTGGAAATGCTAATAAAGAGATGGTTGCACCTTGCTCCTGACCGGGATGGGGGAAGGAGAGAGAGAAAAGGCCGGAAGCGGCGTGAGCCGAGTGTTGAGGCGTCTCACGCAAGGCAATTCCAGGACTGAGGCCTGTTGTAAAATTGTGTTCATGTTGAAATTTCCTGATTTGCCTTTTTGTTTTTGTTAGTTTGTCCAATTGTTCATTTAATATTTTATTAAGATAATTTGTTTCACATTTTTCAACTTTTATTAATAAATAATATGAACATATTTTCAAATGTATTTATTATTTGATTTATTAATGCATTTATCATGTGGTATTGAGTGTGGGTCACATTTTTGCTCAGGCCACTAATTGTGTTTGATGTGGTAAAAATCTGGCAAACATTTGGCCCCAATAAAGTTCAGATGTGGGCCAAATCTGGGAGTGGAACTGGGCCGGATGTGGGCCAGAGATGCCCCGTCTCTGGCCCGTGCTCGGGCCACTTGTGTTTGATGTGGTAAAGATCTGGTAAACATGTGGCCCTGATGAGGTTCAGATGTGGGCCACATCTGGCATGAGTTAGAATCATGCTATCGCCGGACATCCACGCGGTATGTGGGCCACATCAACACCTGTGTTGTGGGCCACATCTGGGCCACAACAATTTTGCTATCTGGGCCTGCTCTATACAGACCTCCTCCAGGTTTATCACTTATTTTCCACTGTTTTATCTTCAGTGGTTCTGGTCGATGCTGAGTCTGAGGACAGTAATGATCTGTAACATTTGTGGTTCCTACGTGTTTGTTATTATTACAAACATGTAGGAGTTTGAGTTGTTTGATTGTCTTATTGGTTGTTGGTGAATCCACACATTTCCAAAGTCCTCGGAGGTGACTGCAGTTGTGATTTAGGGCTTTACAAAAACAAATTGAAAGAATTGAATGGATCAGTTTACTGCACATACACATACGTGGACAATGAGGCTTAGGGCGAGTGGGGTGCGAGCTACTGGACTCAAAAGTACATCATTTAAAAATGTTTGGTGGTGAGACATGATCTGGACTGTGAATGAACCAGGAGTGAGGTATCAAAGCAGCGGGTAAAAGGCTGTTTGAGAAAAATGAAAGAGATGCGAGGAAACGAACCATGGGGAGGAGTGCAAAGTCCTGTGGAAGATGAAGGAGATATTAGAACAGTTGGTCCTGCTCTGAAGAAGGTGGGTGTTTGTAGGTGAAGTGTATCAATCAGAAACTAAAACACGAATCACTGATGTCTATGTCAAAATCTTAAAAAAAGAAAAGAAAGGAAAGACCCATAAGTCAATAATGCAATAATAATTGAATTCCATAAACAATAATCCAAAATAAAATCCAGAAAATGTTTTAGGGTTTGTGATTTAGGGCTATACAAGAATAAATTGTATTGTATTGTCTTTATTCATCCCACAGTGGGGAAATGCCAGTGTTGCAGCGCACTTACAGGACAGTAGTAAGAGCACACCAACACAACATATACAGAAATAAGCAGCTGTGAATGCTTCTTAAAGCTGTAAAAAAAAAAAAGACCAAAGCTGGGACGAAAGTATGAGCAGCCAAGAGTGGAGATGGGGGTCATTGCCTCTGGGTTAAATTGAAATAGCACGTATGGGGTGAAGATCGTGGGGAAAGCGTCTCCAAATGGAGGGTTCAGGAGAAAGATCAGACAGTGCATCAGTGATACTTCCATTTAATGTGGAAGTATTGCCTCAGAGTGATGTTGGCGCTTGTAAGCTTTAGTGTTCGAGATTTTGTCTCTTCCTATTTAGTTACCAATGCCAGAGACACAGAGCACAGAGGGAAGCAGAGGTGTGCCAATGCAGGGGGTCTGTTGGACGAGATGATCCAGGGCACATTACAATATGTATGGACATTTATCAATATTCATGGACATTGGTCTCTCCCTATGGACCAACATGTGTCTTTTTTGTGTCTGAACTGTTTATTCTCTGATCTGTGTTGGTGATTTCAATGGTTTTGTTGAGTCCTCTGAGATGACTGCTGTTGTGATTTAGGGCTATACAAGAATGAAATGTATTGTATTGTATTGTAACAGCGTATAAGGTATTCTGCTCAGAAGAAAGCAGCAGATATTAAACAACTGAAAATGATTAAAAAAAGCGTAACTAGCAGAGTAAGTAAGGAAGTACCCAGTGTTTATTTATACAGCATATTTTACAGAGAAAGATCACCCCAAACCGCTTTACAATGTTCAGAAAAGAGGCAGAGGCAGTTCAGATCCGAAGAGTGAAGAAGGGTCATCAGCGCAGATCCAATACTAGTGATGTGGCGACCTCTGCTGGTCAACAGCATCAATGCAGTGTGGGGATTCCAGTTGATGAAATATTAGGTATTGTTGCTGGGCTTTGTGATGGGAGACCTCAGGGAACAGCAGGTGCCACAGCGGGGCGGCTGCGGCTGTAAAGTGCCAAACTGTTGTTGTGGCAAGACTCTTCAGCCACATTGCCCAGAATGAGTCTGGTGTGTGTGAGTTTGGTAGTTGTCATAGGGGCTGATGGCACATACTGGTTGCCTCTTTTCTCCAGGCCCGGTCAGTCGTTTAACAACAATGTGTATGGAGTTAACGAACAAGGACATGGGAAGTGTTTTTGAGTGTCCAACAAAGCGCTATATAATATGGATGCAATATTGTCATTACTAATAAATATTCTACAGTGCCCTAAGAGATTTTTTAACAACATTTTTAATAATTTATACATGCATGTTTAATGTACAATATTTTTCTTACAGTATAACATGTCCAGTTGTGCTTGTCTCTCTTGCCTTTGTAAGTGCTGAAAAATATGAGTGTGGGAAATCGAAAAGTCAAAGTTGACACCCTCTAAGGAGTCGCATCAAAAGAGGAAGTTGTATCTCAAAAATAGCTCCACGCCTGACACATAAGCATAACATCTAAGCCAACGTCACGGTTTTTTTTACACATTTTTAGCAGGATTTAAAATGCATAAATACAATAAGACATTTTGAAACACAAAGAAAAAAAACCTTAGAATTAGTATTAGCATTATAAAGCAGTAGTATCATAATTGTTTCTACTTGGGAAAATATGTTTTAGGTTGATAGCAATAAAAATGTGTGTGCAAATGATATGAAATCATTTGTGTGAATGACTTTTTGCATTAAATACATGTGTAGTTGTTCAGATAAGAGAAGAGGAAGAAAGCTGACCACTTTAGACACATCCCATTCGTCAGAACATTTCCTGTCTGTGTGTATCTGTGTGTGTGGGTGTGTGTGTGTGTGTGGGTGTGTGGGTGTGAACTTACCACTCAATAACCACCATTACTCATACCAGACATCAACCGCCAGAGCATGGAGCCAGAGCAGATCAGAGAGGGCTACCTGGTCAAGAAGGTATGGTTTCTGTATAATATTCTCTTAATATATTTAAATATGGCTCTTAAAGTTGCGGTAACCAAAAACAAACATACAACAATCATGATCAAATCAGACCTCAACATGGCGTCTTCATCGTAATAGAAAAACATTTGTCTTTTGCACTTGTAAGAAAGAGCCCAGTGGGCTGAAAGCTGATTGGCCGAGTGAGGGGGGAGGGGTCCTCACTTTTTCACCTTCCAGATCGGAAAAGTTGATCTGAAGATGTGAATGATACATGAATGTGAAAACCAGTGATAGAACCAAACATTTTGAGAGTCAAGGAACTAGTGTAAAGGTGAATTTGAAAGTTTGAAAACAGAGCTTTAATTTACTGTGGATTAAGCAGTGCTATTACTTATTCTGTTTTGTTTAAGTAATACTTTGTGACACAGGGGCCTCCAAACGTTTCTCTTGTCGCCTCACTCAGTTAGGACAGAAAGGGCAAAAAAGAAATATGGCAGTAATACATTATTGAAAATAGATGAGCACTTTCTGTTATTTAGGGCAGTGGTGTCAGACTCATATCGTTTGGGGCCAAATTGAAACATTTCTTGCTGGTCAGGGGCCGAAACTGTAAAGGTGGTATTCTTGGTGGAAAGGAAAAAAAAAAAGCATTACATGACACATGACAAATGTTTGGATGTTATTCGTAGGTGTTTATTCTGAAAAAGAATTCAGTTATTGTTTGTTTGTTTTGAACCAAAACTGAATATATATTCATATTTATATATTTTAACCCATGTTAATCCATGTATTTTAAATATATGGGTAAACATTTTAAAATTAAACATGTCATGGTTGTGTAAGCTCTCAGTCGTACAGGGATTAGTCAAAGCAAAGGAAGGTTTCTCTCTTCTTCCTAGCAGGTTTTCCCGAAGTTTCGTCCTTAATCCAAAGAACTTTTTCAATCTTGTGATGATTTGAAGTAATTATATTAAATAGCAGCATAAATGGCATCTTATCCATTACTAAGAAAACAACCATAACATTTACTTCCATAAGAAATATAGGATTTCCCAATTTTCTCGGGAAAGAACCGCCCTCTCCACTTTTTGAACAAAACCGTATTTGAGGATCACAAACCACCAGAATGACCACTGGCAGGAGCCATAATCTTGATGATCCACCCAAAAGTATAAAATCTTCCTATATACCTTCAGTATTTGGTCCAGTTCTGGTTCAGTCCAAAGTAACTGAACTAATTCTAATCAGAAAAGAATGTCCAATCTAACTAATGTGAAACAAGTCATTTATATAGATACTTTCATATTCAAAAAATAATTCATAAATGAAACCCCTCTTATTATTTCGGCCCCTGACCAGCCCTTTCTTTTTTTACTCGGCCCTAAATCAAAATAAGTTTGACACCCCTGATCTATATGGTTGTTTTTTGGGTAAATAGGCTTTAAAATGAGACTTAACATGCCATGGTAGCCGCAATAGCCACTATTACCTTCAATGCTGCTTGTGAATCATAAAATGATCCTTGTGGGCTTTGTGTTGGACACATGTGAAGCTCTTTTTGGATATCATTCTTTCACTCGTCGTTGGATTGTAGTTGGATTGTAGTTGAACCGTCAACCCATCAATATCTTGTGACACTGACCAATGGAACTTTACTTTCAAATGTTCCTGCTTTTGCACTGCGACGGAAATAGACTCTCCCTGCATAACAATTCAGCAAAAATATTCCTTTTTTGTGCTGTAGAATTGACGCCTCCAGGATTTGGTCGAGTGAAATTTCACACCTTTTTAAAAGGCTTTTGATGCCACTTTCTATGACACATTCTATGGCACAAAGTTCAATACCAAAAAGCAAAAAAGGAAGAATACTTTTGATGAATTCAGAGGCAACAATTTTGTAATGGAACCAGAACTTAAAACCATTCATTTCTTTCTTTCTTTTTGACAAACATCTGTAAATGTTATCAGCTTTTTAGCAACATGGTCTTGGTCAATTTCCAAACTGGCGCCGAGACATCTTTCGTAATATGTTAAGTAAGCGATAAGTCAGGGTTTAGTCGTGCTGCATGATTACTGTAACTATGTGTCAAATAGCCAAGCAGATACAGTGTTTACAGAAGTCTAAAAGAAAAGAAAACAATTGCACATATTTTTGACAGAATCACTAATTTCTCATTTTTTCACTTCTGTTTTTTCATCCTCCAGGTGTTTTTGTAGCTCATTTCCCGTCATGGTGCATTTAAACACAGCTGTATTTGTTTCATTCATCTGCTGTAATGTAGTAAACTAGCATTACAACTCTGAATATACACAAAATAATATCAAAACCAGATAAATTAGCTTCTTTCATTGGCAAATCTTGTTTAAAGACAGTCAAAATGTGCTCAAATTAAGGCACATTTAACCACTTTTGGCAGTGTTACAGTCTGTGTTTTGTCTCCAGGGCACTCTGCTAAACACATGGAAGGCTGTGTGGGTGATCCTGTCTGAAGATGGTCTTGAGATGTATAAGAAGAAAACGGATCGGTCTCCCAAAGGCATGATCCCGCTGAAGGGGGCCACTCTGACCTCCCCCTGCCAGGACTACGGCAAAAGAACAGTGGGTTCAAAGCACTATTGCATCATCTATATACTGTGTACTCTGATCCAAATGTGGTGTCGCACTTTGAGTGGGAAAATCATGTTCCAAATGTACAAACGTTCCCCCTCTAATGTTTGTGTAGAGGCAAAGATGTTTATCCAATAAAATGCCTCCTTTAAGGGTTTCTGCAAAGCGTGTCCCCACAAAACACAGTCCAAATATCGAATCAGAGGTTATTTATTGGCCCCTGTGACCAGTAATCCACAGTAACACAATACAATGGGCGCTTGAGGCCCATAGCACTGCCTTGTGGCTAGGTGAAGGTATATTTTGGCTCCTACAGTTTGTATTTCCGCGTGTCTGCCTAGGTTTCCTCCAGGTGCCCCGGTGTCTCCTACTACTAAAAACATGTACGATAGGTCTGAATGTAATGAGAGAGTGAAAGGATTGTAACAGTCCGGGGCAATGTGTTTTTGTGTAGCCCTAAATCACAACAGTAGTCGTCTCGCAGGACTTTACAAAGTTGTTGACACCTCAGCAACTTTTGAATCAAACAGTGATTTGTTTCTCTTCTGTGAATACTGTGTGTGGAGAATGGGAATTACTGGTACAAAACAAAATAGGTGACCTTGGTCTGCGAAATGTGATTTGTAGATGATTACTTTCTTACTTATATTGAGCTATTATCATTAGCTTGTAAGTTGATAAGAATGTGTCATTGAAAATCATTAGAGAGACACTAAAAACGGCAGATATTTTGATAATAAAGTGGTACCATCCCATTATTCTACAAGACCATATTGCCATCAAATATGCATTCTCCATAAATATCTATATATTTGAACTTCATAGGCTTGAGATAATATATAGTGACAGATAATGAAGACTGAAAGTAGTACCTGTGTGTGTGCCTGTGTGTGTGTGTGTGTGTGTGTGTGTGTGTGTGTGTGTGTGTGTGTGTGTGTGTGTGTGTGTGTGTGTGTGTGCGTGTGTGTGTAGCTTGTGTTTAAGATCAGCACAGAGAAGAAGCAGGAGCATGTCTTCCAGGCGTCCCACGTGGAGGAGAGAGAGATGTGGGTCAAAGACATCCGCAGAGCCCTGTCCTGCCTGAAGGCCGGGAAGAACTTTGCCCGCAGGTCCACACGCCGCTCCATCCGCCTTCCGGACACCGTCAACCTCAGGTACCGCACCAGGACAGCACTGGGGGGAAAGTCAACACAAACAGCTGCAGTAAACTCAAAACGCTGCAGCCTGAGACCTGACCAGAACCAGGAAGTACGATCACATTAGTCCTCCAGTTCTAAGGTCTCTGCACTGGCTTCCTGTGGCTCAGAGAATAGACTTTAAAGCAGCAGATGAACCAACTCGGACTCTGAGGAGCACAGGGACTGACCTCCTGCTGGTGCCCAGAGTGAGGAAACATTTAGAGGCAGCATTTTTGATTTATGCTGCTAAAATATGGAACAGTCTTCCTGAAAATGTAAGACAGGCCCAATCCAATCCAGGTTAAAAAGCAGTTCTCTTTAGCTGTGCATAAATATCTTAACTCTTTTTATTTGACTGTGATTATTCATGATTTGAATGGCTTGTATTGTTTTGTTAAGCACTTTAAGTTGCCTTGTGTATGAACTGCGCTATACAAACAAACTTGCCAAACATTAAATTAAAATATATTTGGTAAATTAACCTCACAGAGACGGGATCTTTACGCACCAAAGCCACCTGGAAGTTTATTTCAGTTTCCCTCAGTTCTTTCTCAGGTTCTCTTCAGGTTTTTTCAGGCAAAACAAAATCAGGATATGGTTTATATAGCCAACGTCACACATGGAAAAACATACCTGTCATCTAGAGACATTGAATTAAGTAAACAAGTAATGTTTATTTATATAGCGCATTTTACAGACCAAGGTCACTCAAAGCACTTTACAATTGTTCAGAGTTCAGATAGTTTTCCACTCTCTCCACACACAGTGATGACGGAAGCGAGTCGCCGAACACACTGCCACATCAAAGCCCCAACCAACACCATCCATTCACTCACTGATCACATTCATACCTATTGTTCATATTTTTAGTGGTAGGGTAAACCGGACCACCCGGAGGAAACCTACTCAGACACGGGGAGAACATGTTAGCCATGTCATCCTGGGCCGCGGAGCTTCGATCTGTGTTTGCTGAAGTACAACTCCAATATGTCTTTCACAACAATCTGCCGTGCAGCGTCAGTAGCATTAGAGCAAAATTATTGGCCAATTTTGAAAAACAGTGGCAAATTGGAATTATGGCAAAACGCAAACTAAGAACATATATTCAGTTAAAAAAATAATTCAAAACAGTTTTACGTCACAGCAAATTTGTCCAGGATCAGAGATCTTTGATGGCTCAGTTATTTACCGGAATTCTTCCTTTAGCTTTAGAGACAGGGAGGTTTTCACAGACCCCTGAGGAGAAGAGACTGTGTGTATTTTGTGAACTCAATGAAGTGGAAAGTGAAGTACATTTTTTGTTATATAGTCCTTTTTATGATGAATTTAGAAACACGTTGTTTCATGAAACGTTCTCCCAGGATCCTGATTTGTTTTGGGGCAGTGATGATGACAAGATGACATTTTTATTTGAAAATCAAGTGTTTAAAGTGTCTTCATTTTTAAGTAAAGCCTGGAAGAAGCGGCAGTCTCATCTATTTAAATGAGAGCATTTGTATTTGATTTTGTTTATAATTTTGTTCATGATTTTGTTTATGTGCCTAATGTTGGCCTGTGTCTCTGTATTTGTGTTAATGGTGTCTTATAAGCCCATGTGAGCTGGGCATCCTTGTATGCAAGACACTATATTTTTTTTTATCTATCTATCTGTTATCTCCACTCAGAAAAGGCCCTGTTCCGACCAGGATTCGAACCCAGAACCTTCTTGCTGGAAAGCGAGAGCGCTATCTACCGCCCTGTCAACAGAACATAACAAGACATCCAAAGAACATACTACGGATACACAATCGGGTGGTTGTGTATCACTGATATAGCTATCTGATTCAGCTATTAATCCATTTCTGGGTCAGGGGGGTGGCAATGAAAGCTGCCTCACAATACTCATAGCACCAGTCACTCTGATCCTCTGCAGGTGGTGGGTCCACAGAAAGATTGCTGCTCCATACATTAGCGGGAGGAGTTGGAGTAGTAGTCCCGCGGTGGATTCGAACCCACGACCTTCAGGCCCATGGGCCAATGCTCTACCAACTGAGCTACTACATATACAAATAGTTTCAAATAATGCAATTGAATGATATTGCTGAATAAACTTTGTCTTTGTGTCCATTTCTCCTCAGTGAGCTGTACAGTCTGATGAAGGACCAGGAGGACGGCATTAAAGAACTGAAACTGGAACAGGAGAGCAAAGTTTACAACCACTGTTTCACCGGTACGCACCGCGCTCTCCCCGAAGGCAAACGCGCTGTCACACTGCTGTATTCTTTCACGGCTTGTTCTGTGGCAGGTGCGACCGTGGTGGACTGGCTCATCTCTAAAGACAAGGCGAGGAACCGTCCCGAGGCGCTGATGCTGGCCACGGGGCTCCTGAGCGAGGGCTTCCTGCAGCCTGCGGGGGACATGTCCAAGGAGGGGGCCCACGGAGCAGAGCAGGCCGTGCTGCTGGACCAGAACCACGCTCTCTACTACTTTGTGAGTGTCAGAGGGAGAGAGAGAGGGAGAGGGAGAGGGAGAGGGAGAGAGAGAGAGACAGAAAAAAGAGAGACACAGAAAGAGAGAGAGGGACAGAAAAAGACATAGACAGAAAGAGAGAGACACACACAGAGAGAGACAGAAAGAGAGAGACACACACAGAGAGAGACAGAGAGAGAGAGAGAGACAGACAGACAGTGTGTGTTATCTTTATTTTACTAGAAAACATGTTATATTTTGCATACTTGTAAGAATGAACCTTGTGAGTCACTATTTAATGCTTTGGACAGAGAGCTGATTGGCTGAGAGAGGGTGGTCCTCTTTCTCTCTTTTGACTTTTCTGTTTGAAAAAAGCTATAACAGAGATGTATGTGTATGTGCGTATGTGTATGTGCGTGTGTATGTGTATGTGTGTATGTGTATGTGTATGTGTATGTGTATGTGTATGTGTATGTGTATGTGTATGTGTATGTGTATGTGTATGTGTATGTGTAGTTGTAGGTTTCCCCATACCACTAAAATCATGTACAATAGATCTGTCATGCGCCTGCTCTTCTGGCGACCCTGCTCCCATCTCTGTGTGGAGTGAGAGACAAATGCCCACAATTGTTAACAGCTTTGTGACTCTGGTCTGTGAAAGGCGCTATATAAATAAACATCACTTACTTACTTTGCTTCTCATGCACGGAGCAGTGTTTTTTCCCCAATTCTGAACTCTGGAGGCACTGGACAAACTGTCTTTACAGAATGTTTTAAATATTGCATGTTTTTGTGTTCTTTAGTCTGTATTTTTGTTGTCTGTTTTGGTTTCTGTTCTGTTATATGGACTTTGTCTGTGTCTGAATTAAATATTGCATGAAAAATAAAAGTAGTCTGGCGATGTGGTGCTCTTAACATGGGTGTGTGTGCGTGTGTGTGTGTGCTCAGGCCGACAGTGGGTTCTTCTGTGAGGGCTACTCCAGCGACGAGGACGTTCTGCTGAAGGAGGAGTTCAGAGGAAACATCATCAAACAGGGATGTCTGCTCAAACAGGTCATTCTTCCACTCACTCATATTTCCATTCATAAAACAGAACATTAGAAAATCAATTGGGTATTTTGGAATGTAACGGATGATGTGTGAAAGTACTCGAGGCCTTAAAAGAGGTCAGGGTTTCAAAACAAATTGTGACGTTACATTCTAGATAAATATGACCACGTTTAATAAATCCCAATGTTTTGATGGATGCAGATGTGACCTGAATTCAAGATGAGTACATTTATTTCACTATTTTCTATATCTATCTTTTTATATCGTGAGAGAGCCAGGGGCGTGGAACTCATTTTGATCGGGAAAAAAGAAATACTTGACAGCTCCCAGGGGCCGAAAGTATGAAAGTGTTTGAAGCTGGTCTTTGCATCCATGGATATTTTTTTACGGTGAAGGTTTCGATAAAAGGATAACTTGAGTTTGGAGATTTTTGAGACTTTTTTACTGTATTTTTGGACTGAACCAAAACTGAATGAGTTACAGGATTGGACAATGATCTATTGTTTAAATTAACAATTTCTTATGATATATTCGGTTCAAATTTTAGAATAAAAGTAAAAAAATAAACAAATAAAAATCCCGAGAATTAGCTTTACAAATAGAGATGAAATGACACGGTAGCTCTTATTATCCTTACCATTAATAATGCTACTTAATAACAATAATTGAACATAATTTCAGGGACCAATAGAAATGGCCTGGCATTTGGCCCACAGGCCTGGGGTTTGACACAACGTTTGTTCCAACCTTTTTGAGCCGTTGCACAACTTTTTAATTTAAAACAATCACATGTTACACCACCAGCTGAAACTGACACAAACAAAATACAGTAATTCACAAAGTGTCTAATATAGAAACAGAAGTGCAAAGAAGTATTTATTTTCTTGTTTTACATTATTTTGACCAAATAGGTGATAAAATCTCAAGGCACACTGGTTGAAAAACACTATTAAGCTTTTAAGATATTCAACGCACAAAAACAAAAGGGTATACATTGAATTTACTTTTTTATAGAAAACTAGACCTAAATATGACTCACACAATCTACACACAACGATGATTCTTGTGAAGAAATGCTTTCAAATACGTCTCATTCGACTTTATGTAGGAAAAGACAAGAGAGAGTTATGGAAACTGCATGTGTGGTTCCAGGGGCACAGAAGAAAGAACTGGAAAGTGCGTAAATTCATCCTGCGAGACGACCCAGCGTTTCTGCATTACTACGATCCCACAAAGGTACTTATTGTTGGAGCGACAAAGATGCTGTGATGATGAGGACATTGAAAAGCTTGTGTCGCTGTAGGAGGAAGAGGACCCCCTGGGCTCCATTCACCTGCGCTCCTGCGTGGTTACGGCCGTGGACTTTGTGCCTGACGGTGGGTCTAAATGTGCACTTACAGATGCACTTATGTTAAACACAGGAGGATGTAGAGAGAGATGGTGGTTACAATTTGAGGAGATTTAGAAAAATACAGGCTGCTAGAACAACCAGAAGGAATCTGAATGTTTCTGAGTTTGACTTGGAAACAGTCAAAATAATAGGTCCATACATTGTTCTGACAATAGTCCAACTGACGTGAATAACCCTGTGCATCCTTTGCCCTGCTACATGTGGACTCTCTGCTGTTCACATAAGCACAGCAGGAAGCAGCTGATAGAGCTGTAACAAAATAAAAATAAACACGTTAGCTGCATCGCTGTATAAGCTGCGGAGTTCAAGCATCTCAGTTCAAGGATCCTGCTGAACGAAACTTTTTTGTTCGGCTGTCAGACTGTACAACAGCTGTCTGAATTTAAAATGTGCTCTATTGTTAGTGAGTCAGTAAATTAGTTACAAATGTTACCTAGATAGAAATGTTTATTAATGATGTACTTTTATACACGTGTTTATATGGATGTATTTCTGCTGCTGGACTCCTGAACTTCTCTTATGAGGATCAATAAAGTATATATCTATCTTGAATAAAATATCGGTTTATAATCCAGCAATTCTTCTCGCTCCTTTCGAGATTTGTAGATTGGACTAATTCTTATTGTATGTATGAAGGCGCGCTGCAGTTGTATGTAACATAATAATAATAATAATAATTCATTTTCATTTCATGGCGCCTTTCAAGACACCCAAGAGCGCCTTACAATATATTTAAAAAAACATCACACACAATATTAAAAGCACAGAATATAAAACATTTTAAAATTACAAACAATAAGCCAGAACTCTTTGTAATTTTACAAGAATACTGCCTTTTTTTTGGTAGACTGGACATTTTCAAGTTGTGTCTACTGTATAGTCCAGCTGCTGCCAGGCTATATGTTATGTATTGTGTGCTGTGTACTTAAAATGCATGTAGAGATTGAAAATATATATATGAGCTTGAAAACAAACTAAACGTAATATCTATATTCTTGTGTTTTTTTGCAGCAAAAAAGTACGATGTGGAAGGAGACCTGTTTGAAATCATCACATCAGAGGAAACCCACTACTACCTCCAGGCAGCGACCTCCGAGGAGCGCAAGGACTGGATACGAGCGATACAGACTGTGGCCAAAAGTGGAAAATAGGATATAACTATATAAAAATGTTGTTGTTTTAGTGAATGCATAATGTCTTCACCAAATTCAATCACTTAATGTACTATTAGAAAATCCATTGTGGCTGTATAATTAAGTTATCTGTGTGTATTGTGTGTGTAACGGTAAATAATGAACGATAAAAACAGAAAAATACAGTCAACGTCTCAGATTAGTGTTAATGTCAGTGACTGTGTTTTTAGGGTAATAAGGATTTTGAATAATCTCCATTTTTATCCAAGCATAAATACATTTGTCTTTTTGTCTTATTGTTCAAAACAGAATGTGTTGCATTTTAAATTGCCCTCTTTTACTGTAAATACATTGCAATAAAAAGCTGTGAGATTTAAGCATTCCTGCAGCAAATGTACTATACTGGTAATACATTTAAAACAACTGTTATCGTTATTTGCTTCATATTTTGGAGCAAATGACAATAAAAGTAACATGTATCCTATTTTTTTTTAATGGTTTATCTGTAGATCACAGTTCATACACACGGCTCCCACAGGTTTCTTTGATTCCAATTCAAGTCTTTTTCAGACAATTTATTAAAGTAATACCAGGGTAGACTTTACAGAACTATCAGGAAAAACAATGTGTAGTTTTGTTTCTCTATTACTGTACTTCTCAATTCAAACAAAAGTGAAATTGTGTTTTCACTTCTGCTTGGATTGTTGATTGTGGATCTGAGTTGTGCAGTTCTGACTTTATTTTAATGAAGTGGTGTTTGACAAATGCAACTTCTGAGAATGCAACACAGATGTTCTATTCTGCACAAACCTTAAACAATTACATTTCAAGTCTAGTAATTTTCTATTTTACAATATAGTAAAATGGAGTTGCTCACAAAAATTGTGGCATGTGTGAAGGGGGGGATGAAGCAGAGTACAGGGAGGGGGTGGCTGCCTTCTCAGAGTGGAGTGAGAGAAATGGACTGATTCTCAATGCGTCCAAGACCAAGGAGATGATCATCAACTTTCAAGTAAATGGACAGGACATTGAAGTGGTTCCCTCTTATAAATATCTGGGACTGGTCAGCTCAGGCCAATGCCATCTACAAGAAAGGTCAGAGCAGACTTTTCTTTCTGAGTAGACTGAGGTCCTTTGATGTGAGAATTCAAATGTTGCACATTTTTTACCAGCCTGTTGAAGCTAGTGCCGTGTTCTTTGGGGTTGCGCGTTGGGAGGGCAGTATGACCTCTAGAAACAGTAACCGGCTCGACGGGCTGATCAGGAAATGTGTCTCTGTGATGGGGAGAAGTGTGGACTCTGTGGGAGCTGTGCTGGAGAGAAGGATGAGGGCTCTAGACACCCTCTGCATGACACTATGGCCGCTCAGAGGAGTAATCAAAGCAACAGGCTCCTCTCACTGCGCTGCCGAACAGAACGTTTCAAGAGATCCTTTGTTCCTTCGGCTGTCAGACTGTACAACAAACCTGGATGAGTCTTCTGCTGCTAGACCCCTGAATTTCTCCTACGGGTGATCAATAAAGTATCTATCTATCTATTTTGGGGGCGACAGTGGCTCAGTTCATGACTCCCACTGATGACTGCTGTCGTTGTGTCCTTGGGCAAGACACTTAACCCCACTTTGCCTGAAGCTCCCGCTGGAAGATCAATGCTCCGCTAGTGCTATGTGTACTGGGTGAAGCTCTGACTGCCAGACCCAGAAATGGATTAAGCGGAAGAAAATGATTGAATGAATATGCTATTTCAAAATTATTCTGATCAGTTATTTTTGAAAGACGAACACTTCCGTAATGCACAACTAAATTAAGAGATTAAGAGAGCCTTTATTCCTCCCTCAGTGGGGAAATGTCAGTGTTGCATCACAAGTCACAGAACAGTGGGAAAGAGGAGCACACAGCACAAGATAAGTGAACAATAGCTATACTAATTTAAAGATTGGATTATTTGTTCCCATTATGATTTAGAAAACATTTCATAAGTGTTTGGAGAGCATAAGTCTCGCAGTGCATCTGAGAGCTCTGAGGTCTGAGCGGGGCGCGGCGGTCGACTGGTGACTTCCTATGTCCACTCTGACCACAGTTATCAGACACAGACAGTCAGTTCCTTTGACTCATTCACATCCTCCACATATGACTTTACATTACACAAGAAGGTTATTAATACTCATAGATTATAATGGTATATGAATGAATACTTTATTTCAACCAGAAAAAGGAACGGCAAAACAAACCAACAAGAAAATAGAAAAAGAATAGTTACACGATAATAAACAAATAAACAGTATGCTTTGTTTTATTAACACAAATCCAGCTCGAAAAAGGTACAGAACAGTAGGAATGAGGAGCACATGACAAGGTAAATGATTACTCTATGCTAAAATATAATTAAAATAAATCACTAACTCTAGCGTGAAAAGAAGCAGTAAAAAGTCTCTATCTTTGGCATAATAAGGAAAGACGTCTAAAATCTCCAACTTTAGCATGACGAAGAAGCAAGACTTAAAAGGTGTATAGGATTTTAGGAAAGAACCGCTCTCTCCACTTCTCGAACAAACCTCTCTGGTCTTATTTGACGAGCACGTATCACCAGAATGATTGACAATTGGGAGGACCAATAGTCTTGATGATCCACCCGGAAGTAGATAATCCGCCTATATACCTTTAAGTACAACATCTCTGGCTTTAGCAAAACAAAGGAGCAAGTATAAAACGCTGTATATTCTAGTGCAAGTAATATATAGTTGTGTGTTTACATCTGTACATGTGTGGTCAGGTCAGCAGTGTTTGTTAGTCCTCAATGTTCGTTGTACAGTCTGACAGCAGCAGGAAGGAAAGTAAATTCATGTATAAGCGGGTATTTGTGAAACTAGAGTGAGACTGGAATAGTTCCTGTGGTCACTGACACTTCCTCTCACTACACAGCTGCACCTGAGCCTCATCTCCCATCATGCACAGCTCACACAGACACACACCTGGCTCACCGGCAATCAGCGTTTTGGAACAATTTACCACATGAATTTAAAACATGTTCAAATAGGATTTCTTAAATAATGATAATAATTCATAGTGATTCCCTACATGAGAACTTTAGTAAATGGCTTCAAAGAGTTTCAAGTGGAATGTGGGTATTTATGGCTTCATCAGGCTTCATGGCTTTGTCTTTCCACTGCTCAACCTGCCACTCATTAATCTCTCTAAGTTTTGGAAGAAGATGGGGCTTAAAAGTTAAAATGTGATTCTGCCAGTGTGTTTTTATTGAAGTCTGCAGGTCCCAAACCTGGGGAAAAAAAGTAGGTTAAATATCTACTGCATGAAATACTGCCATTACGTTTAGGTACTACTATATATATATACAAAAGACAAAAGGGTGTTTATGCTTAAAAATTTGGAAAAGCACTATTTCTACTGTTCTAAAAATTCAGTTTTAAGATTGAGGTGCCTTTGGTTTCAGGCACTTTTTTGGTGAATAGTGCTCACAAGTTTGTTCCACGTCTTGTTTCTGTCATCACTGTGAGAATGGGATTTAAAGGTAAACCAGAATTGTAATGCGCTTTGTGTGACTTTAGCTTGTGAAATGTGTTGTATAAATAAAGAAGATTTATTAGATTCTACATTTATTATTTTAGCAATAATAGTCCAATAGCAGCTGTGTCTTTTCATCTCATCACCACTTGGGGGCACTGTATTACAACTTATGATTGTTAAACTGTAGCGTACAGACGGAACTACTGTTATAAACATCAGCCACATGAAATAAAATGTGTGTAATCTATTATTGGATTGTGTAATTAGATTTGAATTGGAGTGAAACATTTCAAATAGGAAAAAATGTTTGTAAAATATAAACACACTCTGCATGAAACTACCCAGAGAATATTCTGAATTCTCGCTCTTATAAGAACCTTCACCTCTCATTTGGAGGTCCGTAAAAAACAGTGCTTTTCCAAATTGCTAAGCATCAAAACCCTTTCACCCTTTTGCGATACATTTGTGCGGATCTGTACCCGCTTATCAGAGCTTGATCTTGACAAATCTCAGGAGCGAGAAAGAGCAGAGCCTGGTCAGTGCGGTGATGGGAGACCTCAGGGGACGCCAGCTGCCACAGTGTTGGCCACAGATCAGCTGCAGATTGTAAAGTACGGATAATAAACCTCGCTTGGCCAATCGTCTCGGAGCCCAAACAGGTTAGATAAGGATTCACAAGTTCAGAATGATTAACAAAGTACGAACATTCTGACTTTGTGGTGCAGTAGTAGTAATTTATTTTCAAAAAACAAAGAATACAAAAAAATAAACAGTATTACACTTTGAAAAGCCGTTGGACGAAGCAGTAGCACGACCTCCACCTCTCCCTTCACTTTCTCTGCACTCGGGGCATCCTTTTTTCTTTCCAAATACTTTAAATTTAATTTCTAACAAGAATCATGTTTGAACAGGATTCATCTTGGAAATTGATCCAAAGAGTAAAGAGTGATCCTCGCCCTGAGATACACATTGATTATAAAGAAGTTCTAAATTCAGCCATATACGTATATTTAAGTATTTATGAAACAGAAAGTGAAAAAAACATTGAGTTAATAATGCAAAAAATATATGTTTACATAAATATAGATTTTACAATTTAAATGAGAAACTGTTTATAGTATCCACAGTTCGTGTAACGTTGATCATTTGCAGTAGTCTGATTCAGATTCAGTTTACTTGCCATTAGCAGTAATGTTCTTCATCTTCAGAGATAATTGCAGATAATTTCTGCCGGAGAGAAGAAGCCAAAGAAAGAGAGCTTGTTTGGAGCTTTCTTTCTTTGCTGTGATGTTGCCAAACCACACAGTCACAGAACCAACAAGAAAACATTTAATGATGCAGCGGTACAATTTAATCAGAATCCTAAATCCCTGTATCTTGGTATCGGCAAACCCTACACCAGTCCAAAAACATTTAAAAAACACTCACTCATAAATAGCATAATCCGCCATCCTACTGTATGTGACTGAAATAAAGCACCTTATTTCACGGCTC